CCCGCCTGAGAAATGTCTTTGCCCCCGTGGAGATGGTAGCATCGAAACAGCGGCACACGTCCTCCTGTCTTGCACTCTCTACAAAGACCTGAGGAACGAGATCATCACCCCACTCGTACTAACCATCCCAGGGCGCTCAAGCACTGCCACAATGTCCTTTCTTCTATGAGATCAAAATGAGCAGATAACAGCAAAGGTTGCTAGGTTCATAGCAGGGGCAATCAGAATAAGGGCCACTAACTGACTGCTGATTCAGGACTTTAAATTGTGCTCTTATATCAAATTTCCCTTTCTGCGTATACTGTAATCTTTTATTGTTGCTATGGCCATTGGCTAATGCAAATAAAGTTTTTATCTATCTATCTTTCAGGGAGGTCTGACAATGTTGTGTCAAGCAAGTTTTATCCCACTGTATTTCTCTGTTACTTTCCTGGTCATTTGGGGAAGCGGGTTTGTTGCACAAGAGCACCAAATCAACCATCAGAAAACAGGTAATGTGCTTGACAAAGGTTGCCAGCTTCTCACCTCCTCCCCTGGACATGGCTCTTGTGCCTTTAACAGAGGCGCAGCAGGCAGAAGCTTCCCCCTGTTGCCTCCATGCTAGGAGTTTAGCTGCTGAATTTCTGCCTGTCACGTCCTTGTTCAAGGAGTCCCCGCCAGACAAAGCAGCAACAGTTGGTGACCCTCAAGCCAACCCATCACACCAAGTGTAGTGTAAACACATGCTTTCCAAGCTTTGATCAGCAAGGGCCTAATCCTGCAGGGTTAATGCATGCAAAATTCCCAGCTACATGCAATCCCCACATAAACTCACTCCAGGATTACAAAAGGAGGGCAAAATTTGCATTTTAAAAGCAACGTGTAGAACAAAAGACTAACACATGGCTGGGAGAACACAGTGGCAGGGAAGATACTTCTTCTTTTCCCCTGACAGAGAGGTCAATGTTCTCTTGTGGATAAAAAAAAAAGTGGACAGCAAAAGCAAAACAAATCCCAAACAGTCTACAAATACTAAGCAGAAATGGGCTATTGACAAGCTGGAACGTGTGCAGAGAAGGGCAACGGAGATGATCAAGGGTCTGGAAACCTAGCTTTTGAGGAATGGTTGAGGGAGCTGGGTATGCATAGCCTGGGGGAGAGGAGATGGAGAGGAGATAGGATGGCCATTATCAAATATATAAAAGGTGGTCACATGAAAGATGGAGCAAGTTTCCTTTCTCCTGCTCCAGAGGGTAGAACCCGAACCAATGGCTTCAAGTTACAGGAAAGATGTCTACTCAACATCAGGAAGAACTTGCTGGTGGTAAGAGCTGTTTGATAGTGGAATGGACTCCCAGGAGAGGTGGTGGACTCTCCTTCCTCGGAGGCTTTTAAGCAGAGCTGGGATGGCCATCTGTCATGGATGCTTTAGCTGAGTTTCCTGCATTGCAGGGGGTTGGACTAGATGGTCTTTGGGGTCCTTTCCAACTCTACAATTCTCTGATTCCATGATTCTGGTACAGGGAAACAGAACCATGTGGCCCTTCTGATGCTCTTCGAGTCAAGCTCCCATCAGCCCCAGCCAGCAGTAGTCCAACAACATCTGGAAGGCCCCAGGTTCTCCATCCTTGTGCCAGAACAGTGATGGCCAAACTTGGGCTTCCAGATGTTTTTGGACTACAACTCCCATCATCCTTAGCTAACAGGACCAGTGGTCAGAGATGATGGGAATTGTAGCCCCAAAACAGCTGTTTGGCCATCACTGTGCTAGAATGAAAGAGAGAGACTCTAGAAAAATAGCTCAGGAATGTAAGATTCTGCATTACACTGTTGGCCCATATAGTTTACCCAGGGTTTCAGGCAGGAGTCTTTCACAGCCCTACCTGGAGATGCTGAGGATCCAATGTGAATCCAGTTACAGGGATCAGGTAGGAGGGACCCTGGAGAGCTGCTGCCAATCAGAGTAGATCTGGGATAGAGAAGCCTCTTTACAGCACAAGGGCCAGATTCCCCTCTGGACAACTTTCTGAGGGCCACATGAAGGTCGTGGGCAGTGCCAGAGGAATAAGTGGGTGGTGCAGCAAACGTTAAGTTTTAACTTTTCTGCAACAGGCTAATTTTTACATCCATTCACACAACCTCCTCTCTGTCCTCCATCCAGACAAGCAAGAGGCATTGTAAGAGTTCAAGGACACCTTCCAGCCAGGCCAAAGGACTCAGAGGAGACATAAGTTTATTTATCTTATTATTGCATTGATGTTCCACCTGGTTCCTCAAAGGAGCTCCAGGTGGCATACATGGTTCTCCTCCTCATTTTATCCCCACAACAAATCTGTGAGGCAGGTACGTCTGAGAGGCAGCGACTGGCCCAAGGTCACCCAGTTCTTCCCCTTAAATAGCAACATCTAAGCCTTTGTCCATCCAAAACAAAAAAAATTCCTTCCAGTAGCACCTTAAAGACCAACTAAGTTAGTTCTTGGTATGAGCTTTCGTGTGCATGCACACTTCTTCAGATACGCATGCACACGAAAACTCATACCAAGAACTAACTTAGTTGGTCTTTAAGGTGCTACTGGAAGGAATTTTTTTTTTGACTATGGCAGACCAACACGGCTACCTATCTGTAACTTTGTCCATCCAGTTCAGTACTGTATAAACACGGACTGGCAAGGGCTTTCCAGGGTTTCAGATGGGAGGCACTCCTATCCTATCTGCCTGCATAATTGGCCAGGAATGGAGCCAGGCACCTTCTGCATGCGAAACAGTTGCTCTGCCATTGAGCTCCCAGAGTTTTTGTTAGGTAGGCTTGTTGCTGCCTCACATCTGGGGTACTTTAGAGACTTGGCATGTCATACATTTGCACAAATGCAGATTTATCCACACTGTCGGAGGATGGCAGGAGCTGTAGTTTGGGTACCTCAAGTGGGCCAAAGTTCCCCGCATCTGCTTAAGAAAGTTAGTCAAACTGAAGATGGTGTGCATTTTTTTTTCAGAACTAGAAATGGGAACACAGCACGTTAAACTTAAAAGAGCTGAAAATGCAAACAAGATCCTCTCTTTCTGATTCCAGAGGGTGAGGAGAAAGAACAGAGAGCTGCTCTTATCTTTTTGCCCCACCTGAAGAACTTTTCAGACACATTTTATTTATTAGTTTTGGGCCAATATATTTGCAGGGCAGTAGAACCACTGATGACATGTTAGAGGTCAGTCTGCAAATGAGCACTGGGACCCAGATGTTTGGGGTGGAAGTATGAGAAAGGTCATAGCTCCATCACAAAGAATCTGCTCTTGTTAATTCCTGGCAGCCCCAGGAAGGGCTGAGAGAGACTCCTACCTGAAGCTCTGGAGAGCCCTGCCAGTCCATGTGAACCATGTTGAGCAAGACAGATTAATATTCCAACTCAACATAAGGAAGCTTCCTATGTTCCTAAGATGCAGATCAGTGGCTTGAGGTGTCCCCAAGATTCACCTGTGGCTGAACACTGAAGGGAAAGATGGGTAGGAATGGAGATGTTTGCACAATGGTGGTCAGTCTTTGCATTTAGAAACCTCTGGCAAGCTTCTGATAGTCCCCACCCAGAACTCAGTTTGGAAACCACGGCTTTAACCACCACACTAGGGATGGCCAATGTGGAGCACGCCGGGTGTTGGTGAACCACAATTCCCATCATTATCCCTGGCCACTGAGGCTAGGGCTGATAGGAGCTGTAGTCTACCAACATCTGGAGGGTACCATCTCTGCACTTAGAATTGCCTCCATTCCCAAATCCTTGAGGACTTACAACCAGAATGGATAATTAGTCCCTTCACATAACCTAGTTCCTTACAGACCCTAGCAACGCATGTCTTGGGGAAGGAGCAAGAGGAGGAAAGAATTCGGTGTTTGGGAAATAAAATGTTCCCCTCGCACAACTGGGCCTTGAATGAGATAAATTAACATGGTCACTTTGAAGCATCTCTTCACATTAAATAGTGTTCGCAACCCCCCCCCCACGAACCTCTTTTATTTGCTGCAAAACCCCATCAATACAGAATGCTAAGGACACACATTATCATCAAACTAAAGGCCACATTTTATTATTATTATTTAATAAAATAACAGGGCATAAAAAATAATTGTATATTACAAATATATATATAATATATACATACACTTTCTCCACCTCTCTCTCCGATACACGCGCACACACCACAAATAAGTTTATGCCTCTCATATGCAACAAAGAGACAAAATAAAAAATAATCCAGTGCTTCTTGATCTATTCAGCATCCAAATTTGTTTAACAATAGAAAGAGTCAATAAGCCCTTCTGGATCCTTTGCAATTGATACCCTCCCCACTTTTTCTTTTTCCACAAATCAGTCCAAACGTGTCTGATTTCCATTAAAAAGCCACAAAAAAGTAACACTAAAGGGTTTCTAAGGACTAGACCCCTTCCTTCTTTTGTTTAGAGATCGCTTTTGTTGCCTTTATGTACAGCAAAATACTTGTTTCTCCTTTCATGTCCTGGCAAGGATTTTGTGTGTGTGGCAGCGGGGGTGGGGGTAGGAACCTGTATTGCACATAATTTTTTACTAAGTTTGGGTCAGACAGAGGACTTTTTAAAGCAACTGAGCAGGGGTGAGCTTTTCGCATTGAACCTGTTTTTAGAAACTCCATGCCTAGTAGGTGGGATGAGAAGCGTTTGGTAAAAGGATTTCTTAAAAGTTAGAACAGAAGTTGTTTTCAAAAGACAATGTGCCGATTGAACAAAAGCTACTCTCAAAGGGCTGGTTACCTAAAAGGAGACAATTCTCCTTCAAGCTCTTAAAAAAAAACCCACCAAAACAAAAAAAAACCATTCTAACTCTACCTGGTTAGAAATCTAAACGCAAACGAATTTTCAGTATACATACAAATCATTACACATGGCTTTTAACTCAGGAGGGCTGAAAAAAAACCAAACCATTAAAAACAAATTAGTTTTCTTTTTAAATAAGGGGCCGTCAGTTTTCCTTGCACTAAAAACTTTTCCCCAAGTATGTTCACCCTTGTTTTATACTCCATATCTTGACTTTAAACATTTCAGTTTTACCCCTTCACTGGCTATTTTGTCTATCTGACAATAGCACTGTTAAAAAGAATTTTTTTATTCATTATTATTGTTAATCTTTAGTTCCAAGCACTATTGTGAGTGCATGTGAGTCTTTCAAAATAGGGTCACTCCATGGCTGTTCTTTTTTAAATTATTATTATTATTACTACCATTATTATACATTCTGCTCACACACAGGTCGGGGGTTGCAAAGCCGACTCGTATTTTGCATGGTGGGCTTTGGGCAAGTGCTGGGGCTTCTTGTAAAGTCCGCTACTTGCAATCACGCTGGCTGGTTTTCTCCGAGTCCTCTTCTTTAGCCTCCGGCTGCAAACGCTTTGCCAGGACTGGAAGGTCTTGGAGGTCCAGATCCACATGCCGCTGGTAATCCCCACAACCAGCAACATGAAGACTTTGACCATGAAAATCTCCACCACTGGGATAGAGTGGCTCATCGAGCAGTCCAGGTGTTTGGTCTGGTTGTTCACCTTGCACTTCTGTTGCATGGCCAAGACCTTCCAGTAATCCATGTTCAGCCTCTCATAAAAATAGCAAGCAATGACACAAGTAGCTGGCACTGTATACAAGACCGAGAAGACCCCGATCCTGACCATGAGTTTCTCCAGCTTGTCCGTGTTTTCCCCACCAGTTTTCATCACCCTCCTGATGTGGAACAGAGCTACAAAGCCAGAGAGGATGAAGGAAGTGCCTATGATTAGGTAGCAAGCCAGAGGGACCAGCACAAATCCGGTCAAGGCATTCACATCCATGCTCCCCACGTAGCATAAGCCTGTCAGCTCATCCCCAGCCACCCTCCGCATCACCAAGATCATGATAGTCTTCACGGCCGGGATGGCCCAGGCCGCCAAGTGGAAGTAGCTACTGTTGGCTTCAATGGCCTCGTGGCCCCATTTCTTCCCAGCAGCCAGGAACCAAGTCAATGTCAAGATCACCCACCACAAGGAGCTGGCCATGCCAAAGTAATAGAGCACAAGGAAGACAAGAGTGCACCCTGTGCTCTCCAAGCCCTCCTGGATGACGTAGAGCTGCCCACTGTCGCGGTCGCAGGCAATGCTCTCGGCACCAGAGAAGAGGCGGATGATGTACCCCACCGAGTAGACGCAGTAGCACATGGACAAGAAGATGATGGGCCTTTCGGGATACTTGAAGCGCTGGGGGTCTATCAAGAAGGTGAGGACGGTGAAAGCGCTGGAGAAGAAGCAGAGGATGGACCAGACAGCGATCCAGATGACGGCAAACTGCTTGTCATGGCGGCTCCAGTAGACGTCGACCCCGGCGGTGCAGAGCGGGGCACAGGAAGCGCTCTTCTCCACGTGGTGGAACTTGCCGGGGTTCTCGCAAGTGGCCCTCCCCAGGCCGTCCTTGTGCTGCTGCTGCAGGTCGTGGCTGGCGCTCTGGGGCCTCTGGGGCCGGAACATGGGGGGCAGGATGCTGGAGCCCCTGGGGGGCTCCTCGGAGCCGTTGTTGGGTGCTTCCATGCATAGGTAGTTGGGGTCGTTCTTGTTGGGCAGCTTGCTGCAGTCCAGGGAGTCGGGCCACTTGAAGGTGAACTGTTCCATGATGGGCGAGCACTTGAAGCGGGCCTGTTCACACATCACCCGGCAAGCGGGGATGGGCGTGGAGACCTGTTCCGTGCACATGGGGGCGTAGAGGGAGCAGAGGAAGAACTTGAGGTGCCCGTGGCAGCCGTACTCCACTAGGGGGGCAAACTCGTGGAGCTGAATGGCTGCTTCGCGCTGGTCCTCGTGCCCCATCAGGTTGGGCATCCGAGTCATGTTGTAGCCGATGTCCTTGCACATGGGGATCTCGATGGCCTGGCACCTCCCGTCCCCGGCCCGGTCGATGTCGATGGAGCTGATGCCGTAGCAGGAGCAGACCAGGTGCAAGATAATGCCCAGAGTCCGACGGGAGTTCCTCCGCGCTGCGCCCATGCTGGCCGACGCTGCGCCACGACCCACCGCGCTCCTGGCTCCCGCGTCTCGGAAAATGCCTGGAAGAAGGCTACTTCTGTTGGCGGCGGCAGCGGCTGGTGTCAAACCAGCTCTTCCGAAGCCCCTTCCCCGGCCACCGTCGCTCCCAACTTTCGCCAGGAGGCCCCCCAGAAGGGGACAGGCCCGATCCACTCGACGTGGGGCAGCAGCATAGCAGCCCCTTCTCACCCTCCCACCCCAAAAGAAAGCGAAATAGCGCCTTTCAACTCCGGTTAAGAGCTTCGCATCCGAACAGCGGAGGTCTTCCGGCCAAAGTCCATCCTGGTCAGTTTCCGAACTCCACAGGGCAAAAGGGGTGGTGGCGCCGGGGAGAAGGAAAGACCCGGGAGAGAAGGACCCTCTCGGCGTTTCAGCCCTCCCCACCCCCTCCGCAACCAAACTTACTGCACCAAGGAGAGAAAGCTTAAGTTGCGGGGGCTTGCCGTTTCTTTTTAAGTCCTTGCAAGGGGTCTCTTGGCGACAGGCGCTCTTTCCTCCATCTCCTCCGACCACGATCGCAGGAACGGTGGGTGTCCCCTTGCTTGCAAAGTTCCTTGTTCAAACGGAAAGGGAAAAAAGGGGAAATCCCAGCGATCACTGCACCTCCAGCGCACACATGTCCCCAAAGCGGCGTGGAAGCTCCTTTTTCTCCTCGGTCTGTAGCTTCTTCTTCCTCTCTCTCTCTCCGATTTGTGCCTCGGACGATCCCACCTCTCCACACTTTTCGCTCGCTCGCTCGCTCCCCTCCCTCCTTCCCCCAGGAGGCGGGCTTTGCGCGCCGACGAGAGGCGGGGAGGAGGCAGATCCGATTGCAACGAGAAGGCGAGCTCTGAAGCGCCGTGGCGAGGAGAGCTTGTCGGCGGGGGTTGGCGGGGAGAGCGCACCGAATCTCCTTCCGCAATACACGCGCACCGTCCCTGCGTCGGATATTTTTCCCTCTTCCACCCAAAGCGAGAGGTCGGCGGGGCGCAGAGATGCGTGCGTAAAAGCGCTCTCTCTCTCCCTTTCTCAGAAGGCTAATTCCTGGGGTTTGCAGCAGCTGTGTTTGGAGGAGGCGTTTACAGCCCAGGATACTCTCTCTCTCTCTCTCTCACGCGCGCGCACACACCACACACACACAGCCTAGGATCCGCCTTCCCTGCGACACTCACTTTGCATGAGAAAAGGTGAAACTGACACGGTGATTACTTTCCAATCATTCGGAACGCCTTTCAAAAGAAAAGCGGGGTGCGCGGGGGGAGAACCGCTGGAAAGACCCTGGAGGTCCTCCCTCGATCAGTGCCGATGTTTTTAAAGTTTCTTTTTCGTCTCTCCTCTCTTAAACATCTCCCCCACCATCGATCTCTCGAAACTTTTCGTACTCTCTCTGCCTCTCCTCCCCGCCTAGTCGTCTGTTCCTCCTCATTTGTGCTAACAAACAAGTTTCTGGTTGGGGTTTTTTGAGTTGCTTTTGAAACCTCGGAGTCATATTTTGTTGTTCGACGGAGTTCGAAAGGGGGTGCATGGTTCTCTCGCGCACCCTTTTATCCATACAACATTCTTTTGAGGTAGGGTAGGCTGAGAGGTAGTGACTGGCCAACAGGCTTCCGGGGATTTTCGTGGCTGAGTGGGCAATTCTTCTCTCGAACACCTATGCCACCTCTAAAAGATGCTGCTCTCTTAACTTTTCTTAATTTTTAAAACCGATTGGGGAGGAAATCCAACTTCTTTTGGTAAATGCAGAAGGCAAGCTTTGGGACGGCACACAATTGTTCCTTGAGGTTATTATCGTTTTATTTTTATTCTTTTCAGTGGCGTAGCGTGGGTTGTCAGCACCCGGGGCAAGGCAAGTAATTTGTGCCCCCTAACCCGTGGATTTGCGCCCCCTAACCCGTGGATTTGCGCCCCCTAACCCGTGGATTTGCCCTAACCCCAGATGTTGCGCCCAGTGCGGCCGGCCCCCCCTGCACCCACTGATTCTTTTACAAATGGGACCTGGCTGCTGTGTGGGGCGCTTGTGGCCAGCCAGGCCCCTTTTCAGGCTACTCCATTCCAGCCTGCCGGGTTTTCATCCTCTCTCCCAGCCTTCTGTAGCCACTGAACATACTCAGTCCACATCTGGGGGTATTCCCCCCCCATCAATTGTCCCCCCTCCCCCTTTGTACTTCTGCAAACTTTGGAATCCCCCCTCCCACAGTTCTAAGTGTGGTACTGCTTTGGCTACTTAAGGATGTAGAGTTTGTTATATTCTATTATTATCTTGTTAATCTAATTAGGGATAGAGTGCTATCAGTGGGTAGGGCACTTTGAAGAAGGTCTGTGCCCCAAGGAGAATACAGTCTAAAATCTGACACAGGGGAGATCACAGTGGGGAGTGAAGCATGGTGAGGCATACAAGGGAAAAACATAAAAAGGGTCTATTTCCTGTATCGGGCCAATGGCCCATCTAGTCCAGAACTCACAGGTGCCAACCTGAAGCCTCTGGGAAGCCCGTAAGCAGGACATGGGCACAAAAGCACTCTCTGTGCTTATCGGCTTAGTGTGGTTCCAGGTCCTTAGGCTTTGTTTCAGTGCGACATGAGGATGGTTTGTGTGAAATGAACAAAATCAATGACTTTCTCCATAATTACCACCTGAGAAGGCTACTGGAGTATAGGAGAGACTGTCAGGCAGGAAGCCTCTAGTTCAAATATCATCAGACAGAAACTCACTTTGTGGACTGAGGCAAGCCAATCTCTCTCTCTCGGCCTCAGTATTCCCATTCTGCAATATGGGGTCAATATTACTGGCCTTTTTTGCAGGGGGGTTCTAAGGATTTTAAAAAGAGATTACACACACACACACACACATTTGATGTCCCCTTTCAGGGCAAAACTCCTCCTCCCCAAGTGACTCACATGCAGAAATAAAGCATAAAATGGAAGCAGTCTATTCCCAATAAAACAGAAGCTATTAAAGCATCTGTTTAAAAACCATTTCACAGCCTGGTACAGCATTCAATACAAAACCAAATTTAACAATTTGGAAGAGGCAATTTTAGAACCAGCTGCTGTATATAAAAAAAATTAAGCACAACCTCTCAGCTAAACTTAGGTCAAAATTAATGGCTTTTCAAGTCCTGTTTAAAAAAAACAGAATGAAGCTGAAACATATATCACAAGTATGAGGCTATCACTGCAAAGACCCTGTCACTAGTGCCCTGCTCTTGATCAATCACTGTTTCTGTTTTGTCTTTTGAAGAGATTTTGTAGATGACCTTGAAAAAAATATTGATGTAATATCACAATTAATAGCATATTAAAAACAACCACTCCATACCTGAGAAGACTGAGTTACAAAAACAAGGCAGTTGATATAACATGCACAACCTTTTTCCAGTGCCTACAACGACCATATAAGGGAGGTCACAATTATTATTCCCATATTGCAGATGAGAATGTTGAAGCTGGGTGCAAGTAGCTCAGGGAGTTCTCTATCCTAGTGAAGATGAAATCCAAAGCAGTCACTTCTTAACTACAAAGTTGCACCAGGTGAGTCCCAGTGTTGAGGCTAGAAACCAATAGCACATGCAACTTTAGGGATATGGGGCACAGTCTGATTTCCTAATAAGTTCTGAAGTGAGAGGTGCTGCCTGAGCGAGTAGGAAATGTACTCTGGGCATCCTCAACCTTGTTTTACATTCCAGGGCTTACGGTAACCCTGCCACTGTAAAACAGGTCCAGTCGTTGCAAACCTTGCCTGAAATGAAGCACTTCTAATAATGGACTTGCTTTCCAAAATATGAGATGCTTGGGGTTAATTCTGGATCAAAATCACACCCTTGCCAAAGGACTGAAGCATTTCCATCTGCCGGTGCCTCAGATAAGTTTGAATGTGTTGCCTGCAAATTGGTTAAAGGGGGAAAAGCACTTCATACATTCACAAGAAACTCCTATCTGTTCTCACTAATTCAGATGCTCTGAAAACAGGTTTCGAAACAAGCTCTACAGCTAAGCCCTGCGTGTGTTAAATTAAGCCCCTCTTAGAATTCTTATATTTTGGGGTGGGGGTGGAGGGAAGGCGAGGAGAAGGATGATCTTGAAGAGAGGTGGGGGTGGTTGCTCAAAAGGGGATTGAGTTGGGCGCATTTTATTGCCAGGGCCATAAATGTCTGGCTGAGAAGCTTGTAAAAATCCAGTTGGCCGGGAGTCTTCAGCCCCATCTGTTTACAAAATGTAAGCTTTGATTGTGAGCTGAGAGCCAAAAGCATCTTTCATACAGAGACCAAAAGTCAGAAACAGAACCACACGAGGCTTATGGGACTTTAAGTTAAATCCCCTAAAATATCATGCGGCAAAGTGGAAAATTCCCTCCCAGTAAGCTGTAAGGTACAGGAGGGCTGGTTTTCTCCACCCTGGAAGAGATTTAGGCTGCAATTCTAGGGATACTGACCTGGGAATGAGCCCCATTGAACTCATTGCCAGTTACATCTGAGTAAAGATGCATAAGATTGCAGTGCAAATGTATTTTCCTCTGCATGTTACCTGACAGTGTTACTGCTGCCCCAATTGCTTGATACTAACAGTGCAAGGGACGCGGGTGGTGCTGTGGGTTAAGCCACAGAGCCTAGGACTTGCCGATCAGAAGGTCGGCCGTTCGAATCCCTGCAACGGGGTGAGCTCCTGTTGCTCGGTCCCTGCTCCTGCCAACTTAGCAGTTCGAAAGCACGTCAAAGTGCAAGTAGATAAACAGGTACTGCTCCAGCGGGAAGGTAAATGGTGTTTCCATGCACTGCTCTGGTTCTCCAGAAGTGGCTTAGTCATGCTGGCCACATGACCCGGAAGCTGTACGCTGGCTCCCTCGGCCAATAAAGCGAGATGAGCGCCGCAACCCCAGAGTCGGCCACGACTGGTTAGGGGTCCCTTTACCTTTAACAGTGCAATCCTGTGCATGTCTACACAGACATAAAGCCCACTGTGCTCAACTGTGAACCTAGGGTTGCATCATTAGAGTGTGACTGTGACAGCAAACCCCACAATGACTGGAGGCTTCAGCACAAATTCAGATTGCCATGGGGGGGGGGGTTGTGTGTGTACTACACTAACATTTCTTGCTGCAAAAACATCACACATAGATGTCACGCACAAATTGGTGTAGCGTGACAGGTTAGGAGGTCTTTTTTAGGCCTGGTGGGTGAGTTATAATTCTCTAATGCAGATCAGGAGCAGGGAATCTTTTTTCTATCTGAGGGCCACATTCCCTTCAGAGGAACTTTCTGGTGGTGGGAGCACAAGCCAGTGGTGGGCGGGGCCAGAGTCAAAAAATGGGCAGAGCAATCAATTGCTCATATACCCCTTTCTAGCCTCCCTCTGGGTGTGGGTACACATGATCAGAATTCAAGGATATAGAGTCCAGGGGTCAGCAAACTTTTTCAGCAGGGGCTGGTCCACTGTCCCTCAAACCTTGAGGGGGACCGGACTATATTTTGGAAAATAAAATAAAAAAATGAACGAATTTCTATGCCCCCCCCAAATAACCCAGAGATGCATTTTAAATAAAAGCACATATTCTACTTGTGTAAAAACACCAGGCAGGCCCCACAAATAATCCAGAGATGCATTTTAAATAAAAGGACACATTCTGCTCATGTAAAAACACGCTGATTCCCAGACCATCCATGGGCCAGATTTAGAAGGCAATTGGACCGGATCCAGCCCCCGGCCTTAGTTTGCCTATCCATGACATAGATCCAGACAAAAGAAGCAACAACTCAAGGAGGTGACAAAATAGGGCTGGTGAGGGGCATTTTCCAAATTTTTTAACTGGAAAAACTAGTCAGGGGCTGTGGATTCCCCACTTATAACCCTCTTCCTATTTTATTTCTATTCCCTCCCCAGGTCATTCCATCTCTGGCTAGTCCCTCCCTGTAGATGAAGTTGTTCAGCCTCATGGCAGGTTTGCCACCTCACTGTTTCCCAGGTAGATGTTTAAAGCTGCAGGTGCAATGTCCATATGCTTATGTTTGCTGCGTGAAACGTCGGTGTAACGTCGGTGTTTTCTGCGGCAAATGCTGAGTGCCCAGCTGCCCTTCTGTCCCGCTTCAATTGTCCCGCTTTGACACGGACTTCAGAG